ATGTTGAGATTTGGGGCATCTGGGTGGCTCGTCGGTTAAGCATCCAACTCTTGGTTTCAGTTCAGGTCATGATCTCAAGGTTCGTGGGTTCGAGCCCCACCTCTGGCTCTGTGCTGCTGGTGTGGAGCTTGCTTGGGCTTCTCTCCCTCTCTGCCTCTCTCTCTGCCCCTCCCCTGCTATCTCTCTCTCTCTCTCTCTCAAAATTAAAAAGAAAATGTTGAGATTTCCTTTGTGGCTTAATACACGATGTGTTTGTCAATTAGGGAGAAGGGCTTCCATTCCCCAAATCCTCCGTAGGCCTGACTTGCGTTTCTGTTTCATGTGTTCATTTCTGAGACAGGTATGTTCAAGATGTTCGCTGCGTCTGCTTATGTATCTGTCAGTTTCGTTCTATGTATTTCGCAGCTATTTTGTTCAGCACAGGAAGACCTGCGACTGCTTTCTGCGTGCATTACAAACTCCGTGCCCCCATCGTTCCTTAAGCACTGAATGCTTTTGGCCTTGAGTTGTACCTTTTGAGACCATTTAAAAAGATTTTTTTTGACACTAATTTTGTTTTGAGAGACAGAGAGAGACAGAACGTGAGCGGAGGAGGGGCAGAGAGAGAGGGAGACACAGAATCGGAAGCAGTTCCAGGGCTCAAAGTCACCGAGCGTGAGATCACGACCTGAGCCGAAGTTGGACACGCAGACTGAGCCTCCCCAGTGCCCCTTAAGAAGGCTTTTGGATGGCTCTCAGATATGACATGAAATATTTCTTATCAAACTGTCCATTGACGAGTGTGAGAAGCGGCAGCGGCCCCCCGATCTCCCGTTCCGGTCCCGTAGGATTTTTGTTTCAGATCGTCGATACTTTCACCACTGTTTATAAAACCAATAGTTATGTAGGCTTCATCATTTCTGCGAATTTCTTTGCTCACTTCTGTGGGCTCACCGCGTACCCCTGCCGGGTTTATTCGACGGAGAGCGTCTTCTGCGCAGAGCGTAGGGAGCTAGGTGTCGGAGTCCTGGCTCATCTGAACATGCCTGGTTTCGTTTCTTTGGGGACCTAATCCGTTCGTGTCTCCTCTCCTCCCCGCCGTCCCCCCTCCCAGCCCCCCACCTCGTGGTATTTTCTTGCCCTCTGTTCTGTCCTTCGAGGGCATCAGAAGCCTCCTAGGGCACGCAGCGGCCTCTCGCCCGGCCGGTCGGGACCCGGAGCCCCTGTCGCTGGCACGTGCCCCTCTCTGTCCACGGGCCGCCGCTCCTGGGCTCTGGGGCTCCGATGGGTGTGGGCATCGGCACCGCGTGTCTCCGTCTTCCAGCCTCCGTGCCGACGCCGGTCCTGCACTGCCCACCGGCTCACTCTCACCCTGTCATTCTGCTCCTCGGTCCCTGTCGTGCTTTTTATTTCCACGACCGAGGTCTGGGTCCCCGGCACCTCTCCCTCTCGCCTCTCCTGTGAGTGCAGTCTGCGGGCCGGGCCCCTGCCCCTGGGTGCGAGTCCGAGGTCCTCCGTCCCTGCAGGGCACGGCCACGGCCTCGCCCAGGGGCGGACCCTCGGGGCCACCACACTGGTCCGCGGCGTGCTCCCCCCTCTCGCTGCCCCTCGCCGGTGGTGCGTGCGCAGGGCAGGGCGAGTGGGCTTGGGCCGGCTTCCTGGGACACCCCCACAGGGAGCCCGTGCAGAGCTCGAGGGCTGGGGTCTGATGGGCCACCTGTGGTGCAATCAGCCACTTGCAACTACTTCCTCCAAAGCAGCGGGAACAGGAAGCACTGTGCCCTCACCGCCGTCGGGGTTTGCGGGCCGTCTTCGCCGCGCGACAGCCCAGCCCGGTAAAGAGCGGAGCCCCCTCCCTGCCCAGCCGGGACACCCCACCGAGATCGCCAGGGCATCAGCGAGGTGAGGGGACGGGGGACAGGGGTCGCTTTCCTAAAGGGGGACCGGTTGGGCCCCGCGGCTCTTCCCCTGAGGAGCGGCCCAGCCCTGCGGGGAGGCCCTGGTCCCCGCCACCCACCCTGGGCTCGTCCACTCCAGCCAGGGGGAGCGCTGTGCCCCCCGTGGTCAGAGCCACAGAGAGGCGGGGACGGCTGTAACTGGGGACAGGACCCAGGCGGGAGGACGGGGCACAGCTCCGGGCCTCGGTCGCTGGGTCTAGGGGCTCTCGATAAACCACACGCACTTCCCGAGCCCCCGACACGGGGGCTGCGAGGCGGTGGAGCCTGGAGGAGGCTGGGGGGCAGGCGAGACCCCCCCCCCGGAGGGGCCGGGCCGCGGGAGCGCTGGCGGGCCTCCGCTCGCCTCCCTTTTCCTGCCCGAGACCCTCCTCTCCACGCCTCTGAGGCTGGCTGTGGTGGTCTCTCCTCCCGCGGTGTGTGCGATGAGTGTGGGCGAGAGCGGGGCTGCCTGTGGAAGGGTGAGAGGGTGCACACGTGTGTGCGTGTGTGTGAGAGCATTGTATGAGCAAATGTGTGTGTTTATATAAGTATTTGAGTGTGAGGCGTGTATGTGTTGCACGTGAGGTATGTGAGAGTGTGTTGTGTGTCAGGTGTGTGGAGGTGTGGGGGATGTGGGTGCGCGTTGTGTGTATACTTGTGTGTGAGTGCATATGTGTACGGGCGTGTGTAGGTATGTGGGTGTGTGCAGGTGTGCGTTGTGTGTGTACTTGTGTGTGAGTGTGCGTGTGTGTATGAAGGTGTGTATGGGTGTGGGGGTGCATGTAGGTGTGCGTTGTGTGTACCTGTGTGTGAGTGTGCACGTGTGTATGGGCGTGTGTGGGTGTATAGGTGTGCATTGTGTGCGTGCTTGCGTGTGAGTGTGCATGTGTGTATGGGCGTGTGTGGGTGTATGTATAGGTGTGCATTGTGTGTGTGCTTGCGTGTGAGTGTGCACGTGTGTATGGGCGTGTGTGGGTGTGCATGTGTGCATTGTGTGCGTGCTTGCATGTGAGTGTGCACGTGTGTATGAGTGTGTAGGTGTGTGTGGACGTGGGGGTGCGTGGGGGTGTGCACCGTGTGTGTGCTTGTAAGCGTGCATGTGTGCAGGTGTGCATGGGTGTGGGGGGGTGTAGGTGTGTGTAGGTGTGCATGTGGTACGTGTGCATTTTCCTGCTGAGGGGTCCACCGCTTCTCTCGGACCGTCAGAGGTCTGCGAGCTCGGGCCGAATGCTGTGAAGGTGTCGTGTGAGAGCTGCGTTTTGGAGGACAGACATAGGTGTGTGACTAAACCTCCCGCAGCCAGGCTCCTGGGGGCCTCTCCGGAGGCCTCCTGGGAGCGGGGGGCCTGGAGCCGCGTCTGGACCCCGGGGTCCCCCTGGATCCCGGCCGACACTGCCCTTCGGTCCCCTGGTCTCACCTCGTCCTGGCTCCCGTCCTCTTCCCCCAACCCAGGGCCGGGGTCCTGCTCTGCCATCCCCGGCTGGGCTCCCCTCCTTTGGGGGCAACTGGGACCCCGAGTGGGCGAGGAGGAGGGGCAGCCAGGGGCGGGGTGGGAGGCGGGGGGACCGTGGTGGCAGCGGCCGAGCCCACACCTCAGTGCTACATCCCAGGCAGGCACAGGGTCTCCCTCTGTGGGCACCTGATGTCCAGGTGACTGAGGGTTGTGCTGACTCCAGTGGCCCATGTGGGGTTTCTGTGAGGTTAGGGATCAGCTCCGCCGGGGAGAGGACCGGGTGGGAGGGCTGGGGCGGGGGGGCGGCTCAGGATGCGAGAAGGTAGAGTAAAGCATTTCCCGAAGGCTCAGCCTCTGGCCTCTGTAGAAACCTGGGTGGGGCTCCCTGCCCTACAGTCGTGGCCGTGGCCGTGGCCGGCCTGCCCTGTACGGCAGCAGGAGGCCCAGGGCAAATTACGGTCATCACCTGGGGGTTTCACGAGAGACAGGAACACTGACCACGGGCCTTGCAGACTGTTCCGAGGATGCTGCCTGCTCTCTGGGGATGGGAGGGACCTGTGTGCACCCCGGAGAAGGCCCCCCACCCGTGACAAGGGCCACCGGTGGTTCAGACTCCAACTGACTCCACAACCGAATGTATAATTCAAACCCCACTTCCCGGGGGGGGGGGTCAGGGAGCCAGCAGAGCCCGGCTTCTGCGTGAGCCCCCGGTCCAGGTCCCCGGCGCGGCACAGACAGACAGAAACGTGGCCCGTTGGGATATATCCACTTTTTCTTTTTTCCACGAACCTTGAGTTGCCCTGAACAGGCGCTTGCCCACTTTCGCCGCTGTGCGGGGCCCACAGGGTGGCCTTCACGGGCCGTTGTCCAGCTGCACAGGTGGACGGGAAGCCCGGCTCTTTGGGTTGGCTGCTTGGCTGCTAGCCAGCCGCACGTTGTCAAATGTTTGTCATCCGGCTGTGACGGCTGCCCACCACCTTTCTTGGGACATTTGCCTCTTTATCACCGACTTTTTAAGTTTATTTATCTTGAGAGAGAGAGAGAGGGAGAGAGAGAAAATCCCACGTGGGCTCCACATGGTCAGTTCAGAACCCGACGCGGGGCCTGATCTCATGAACCTTGAGATCATGACCCGTTTTGAGTCTGTCTTGTTGGTATTTCCTTCCTTAGTTTTATGCTCAGAAGGTTTCCTGACTCAGAGATACACTCTTCTGGTTCTGTTATCATTTTATGTCCCCAAATTCCACGGAGTTTACGCAGCCTCTGGTGTGAAGGAGGCCCCTTCCTGGGGAACCCCCACCTCAGCTCATCCCCTTTGAAGGCTGGGGTGCAACCCACTCCCTGTCTCTGACTCAGCCCCGGGCCACGGGCCAGGGTCACCCCGCCCCCCCAGCAGCACCGCTGCCATCTTGACCCCTCTTCCCCAAGCTGCTTGGCGATCATCATACCAAGGTCGTTGCCTTTTCCCAGGAAGCAGGTCCGATCTGTCGATTTTCGCTTTTTTGTTCGCTTTTCCCATTCATGACTTCTGCCCTCGTCTGTGTATGTCCTGCCTCCCTTTCCCCCACCTCTGCGTTTCCGTCCCCGTACGTGCACCTGTCCTCACCTGCAACCAAAGCACATCGGGCAACTGTTTTCACGTCCCATCCTGCACAGAGGGTTTTCACCGCACAGAGGTGGAATTGCACAGAGGATGTTGTCTGCAAATATAATTTTGACTTCCTCTCTGACCTGAGAGGTGTTTAGCACATTGTTTTAAAATTTCTTTTTTTAATGTCTTTTTATTTATTTATTTTTGATGTTTATTTATTTTTGAGAGAAAGAGAGAGAGAGCACAAGAGCAGGGGAGGGGCAGAGAGAGAGGGAGACACAGAATCCGAAGCAGGCTCCAGGCTCTGAGCTGTCAGCACAGAGCTCGATGCAGGGCTGGAACCCACGAACGGTGAGATCGCGTCCTGAGCTGGAGTCGGACGCTCAACCGACAGCCATCCAGGTGCCCAAAGTTTTATTTATTTAAGTAATCTCTGCAGCCAGCGTGGGGCTGGAACTCACGACCCTGAGGTCAAGAGTCGCATGCTCTCCTGACTGAGCCAGCCAGGCGCCCCTGAGCTCTTTAAAATGTCTAGTTGATACGTGGGAGGGTGTCTCGTCTTCTTCCACATGCTGAGAAACTGGCCCTTGCAATGTGTGCCGTCAGACTTCGCGGGGTGAGGTGGGCAACGGTCGACGTGCCTCGCGGACACTTTTGTAGGGCTGGGGGTCCAGGGAGCATACGGGCCCCGCGTCCTCTGGCCTCACTGCCCTTTCTGTGCCCTGGGTCTGTCCGGAGCCTCCGTGCTCAGCAGGTGGTGGCTCCAGCCGCCCCCGCGGAAGCCAGCTTCTGTCCATTCTGTGTTTTTATAGAACGCAGAAGCGACTCCATATCCACACTCTGCCTTTTGGTTTAAAAAGGCTGGTGCCTGTTTCAGATCCCTGGTAGACATGGGCTTTTTCACCATGAAACAGCTTTGAGTCCGCAGGCTCCGGGG